CCAACTTGCCATTTTGACAACATTTCAGCTGCGATTGGGTGGGGAGCAGTAGGAGTATCCTATTAGGAGAGGTCATGACCATTGCGCATCTGGTTGGGGATTTTGGTCTAGTCCTACGACCCCTCCCCATTCTTTCAAACGGTTTATACGAGCCCACTACCCTTTCTCATAAAGCTGTCGAGCGAGGGTGTATACCACATGTGGAACGGGAAACGGCAAGTAAAATACGACTCTTTTCATACCCATAATCCAACCCTAGCCACCACTTTCCTACCAGTTTTACCAGATCATCCCAGATTTTCCGAAAATTGTGAGAAATTTTGCTGTCGAGTGGATAGAGGGAGGAAAAGGGGCTCCCTATAAATAGTACATATGAAACAGGACAAATACGGAGAGTCAATATCCTCTCCCAGAGGGCCAAAGGGCAACCTTTCCGACCGCCGCCATCTACCACCAACGAGCAAGTATGACCCTCCCACTCGGCGGGGTATCCCCACCGTGGGCTCCCTTTGCCATAATGAATCTCTCAAAAGTATATATGAGACTAGCAAGAACAAAGCCACTGTGATCAGCGCTTAGATTTATATAGCGCACGTGAAACGGGAAAATGCTGGAAAAGTCAACAGTGCGGGAAAAGTCAACAAAAAAAATTCATCGCTAATGGAAACATCCCTATCAGGGGCAGATACGACGCCCATCAAGCAAACAATTACTGTACCGTCACCAAACAATTCCTGAATCCAACTACTGAAAACGGACTGACTAGTACTTATAGAGGACCTTGACGGCGTTGCCAACTCCGGGTGGGGATAATCCCATGTGAACGTGAGACAAGGAAAAGTCAACAATCGGATGAAATTTCCATAAAAAGAGGAGACGGGAAAATTTGTTGTCGAAGCCACTTCCCATTCTTCCGCCCCCTACCCCCTCAAGCGGAGAGTGACTGCGACATCCCTTCCTACTGGAGTCCTTCAACGCTATGAAAGCGCGTGTGAAACAGGAAAAGTCAACCATCACAAAAATCTCTCTTGGCCTGAATAGAACCTGCTCTTCCAGCGACCAAATACACCCCCCCCCCCAGATTTCCTACGACGTTGCGTAATTTCGCCGCACACGCCGCCGCTTGATAGTGGCACACCCATCCGGTCGCGTATCATTGTTCGAGAGCCAAAAGCCTAGTCATTTCATGGAATCACATCAGAAACAATCTTTATACAGTACTAGAACATTGCGGATTACGACCGCATAACTTTTCAAAGTGCTTCTATTGTACTGAAAAAAACAATCATATGTGCAGACAATACACAGTGAAAAATCTTATGCAGTGCTCTTCCTGTCTTGGCGCGTTGCCAACCACCTTTTATAGGTAGCGGATGAGTGTGTGGTGGTGTGTGCATGTGTATCAGTGACAGTTGCAAGTGCACGCGATCGATACCGGTACTGAACAGATCTGTGACCAGCACTCCTCACACAAGAGTCGTACTAATCACACATGGTCAGGCTGGGCGAATACCTTGGATGATATCCGAAAACCGCTCTTCTCATTGTTCAGTGCTGAGGAGCTGACCATTCGAACACTGGTGGGTGTCTGAAACGAGATAAATGAATGATACAGCGCTGAACGATTATGGATGGAATCCCACTGGAAGACCTGTTCCCTCGCCTCTGTGGATCCCGGTCCTTGACAAGCGCGAGGTGAATGGGTCCGCAGCTACAGTAATGTGCAACCTTCTTCGGTCGAAAGTGCAGGGGTGTAGTGGCAGCCTTGTACCATTTCGGGTCTTCTCAGCGGCTGCTACACGGCCAGCCACACCTTTGACCATAGCCAAACACACTACTTGTCTGCGCCCTCTCTCTACTAGTTGGTCTCTACCTCAAAGACTCACCGACCAATAGGGTCGCATTCGATAGCAGGAAAGTGGAGGGTCCTAACTGGCTTAATGAAAAAATTCCAAAATGTTAATTTTATTGGTTTCATCGCAGTATAATTCTGTAGTCAAGGGGCAGGAGCTTCACCATTTCTATTTCACCCTTCCTGACAGTTGTTCGGATGTGCTAACCCTCAGTCACTCCCCTCCCCCCCTATTTCAGTCAGATTATGAGGGTTGTATCGTGCGCGCAGAGGAATAGGGGAAGGTCATATTAAAAAAGAAAGTTTCATATCATTTCCTGCTGCCTCAAGAATAATAGAAATACTGATAAAAACTCGAAGGTAAAGTGTACTGCCGAAGTGGAGTAAGGTAGGAAAGAAGCGGGGAGCAGGCGGGGCGGGGGGGGGCAGAGCAGCACCAACAGGTGTTGTTCGCATGAGGACTCAAAGTATCAGTGCCGCGAAGCGCCGAGACAACTACAGCCTTATCACACAAGCTAACAGGAGCTTATCAACGAGTCGCGGGTTTCGGCTCGGTGCGGTGCCTTCCAACTTCGCACCATTCGTTGCGGGATCGGGAGTCGGTGAGAGGTGAGAAACAACTATATATAGTGTAAAATGTGAATAACATACATGTAGAATGTGTCGCGACAAAAAGGGGCGGAGTTATCTGGGGGCGTAGCGTGTAATGGAGACGTAATATAGTATAGTGTGTGTAGAAAATGTCTATGAGAAGCTATTCGTGCAAAAATTGCGAAAAGAGCCACTTCAAACACACAGATCAACTAAATGTGGCTGGCGTCGCGCTAAAGCCCACGCCCCGACAGTCTTCAGTGATAACGATTGCAGTGGATTGCTAGTTTTTGCGCGCTTTTGTGCCTCGAGCGTAATGAACTACAGCCATGTTTGCTGCATATGCGGATTCTTGGAGGGCAAGCGACAACACCAGTGGAGGGTGAATGGCCTGGCGCCGCGTCGAACCCACTTCCCTTCTCTGGCAATTCCCCCCCCCCACCACCTTAAAAAGCCGTAGCAAGCAAGACTGCATACGCCCCGCTGAGAATTTACCCTGGGAATCCGTATTTTCTTGCTTTCTAGTCTCTTATAACAAAACAAACCTGAAAATTGAATCCGTAGTCGTTCGATGAGGATATGACGTTCTCGATTGACGGAGCACTGCTGTTCAAAACAGTAATACCCAACGAACTGCCAGTGATGTTCGCAAATGTGAACTTCGAAGGAGCGGTTGCTGGAAAAAGATTTTATCAAGTAGAGAACAAATTATGAAAAACGCCTAGAATTTTTCGAAAAGCAGCAGCAGTTACTGCAATACTTGGGAGCAACCTTAACCTCCCTGCACAGCGTCGCGTTGAGATGTGAAAGCTGCTCCTCAATACGGTTCTCTTCAAGGCTGTAAATAGTACAGTATCCGAATGGTAGAATGGCAGTGTCGGAGGTCACCTCGAATCTCTTGCTTCGGTGAGACCTCCTTCATCCCCCCCCCTCATCCCGTGAGTTTCCCAACGGCTCAACGGTGGTGCCCCTGACTTCCAAGGGCAAGAGGGAGAAGAGGCTTCAGCCATAAGTTTGGCCAACCGTCACATATAGTTAAACTGTCAACCTGGGGCCTGGAGATGGGAGAAGCTCAAGCAGCATGCACAATACTCGAACTGAGAAAAGAGAACCGTGTGGGCGGAACAGCGATGTCAGAACGACCCTCACCACTCTGAACTCTTTCTCCGATACGGCTTCTGCAACGTACCTACCATCTGAACAGCTTTGTCCGGGAATTCCGCTGTCGGCCGGAAGAGTTGGAGAGGGGCTGGAAGCTTTCGACGAGCTATTCAAAAATAGGTGGGCAACAATTGACGAACGAATCTTAGCCAGATGTGACCCCCTTCCTCAGCGACTGAATGTGATCCCCCACCCCTTGACTGGTGTACAACGATGATGCAAGCTTACTGACCTGAGAACCAGAAGGGGAAGCAAATTTTCAGAGAGCGTTTCAGGACTATCTGAGTGTAATGATCCCTCTGTGACTAAGGTAAGCAGGAGATTCTGATGCGGGTGCTTCTGGAAAGCCGATCTTTTCCTCTGCTCTTTTCTCTCCCCCCCCATTTTTTCTAAGAGGACGCTCCGTTTCTAGGTCTTCACGTCGTGCTATGCTAAAATCAAGTGCTAGAGCCCCCTCCCCTCTTCCTCGTAAGACCCTAGAGGTTCTTGAACGCTTTTTTTTCTGACGATAGTGTGAGGTGCTTGAGACTAGCCTTACATTGCAAGTGCATAGGAACCTAGCCTCACCGTCGATAATCTCTATTCCTTTCCAACGACCCGCTTGTGGCTCAAATGTGACAGGTGCCGACTTCGTGCCATTCACAATGAGAACACCTGGAAAGAAGGAATCCATAGCAACAAGGTTGGGAAAGAGAGTTGAGAAATAGAGGAGGAGCTAGTCATAACCTTTGGAACCCACCATAAACAGTGAAACCTGCATCATCTGCGAATCGTAACACGACACCAGGCTGAACGAGAACTGTCCGATTAGGCGGAATCACAGCGTCCAGTGGGATATCGTACGGTGAGGAATCGTTCCGGTAGACGTCCGGGATAATGTATTGGATAGATCTGGCAGAATGATTGCTATTAGATTTAAGGGAAAGCAGGAGACCTCCAACAAGTTCATCTAGAAAGGAATCAAGCATTTCTGAACTGTTTTACCCCTTAAAAAATGAACGGGTTCGAGCAGAAGGGCTTGGAAAATCTACCGTTTTCGCCTTGTTCGTTCCGGCTCTCTGACATGGACGTGACCCAAATGCCTTCCGTGGCGTCTTGGGTGCAATCGTGGCGGACGACATGCATCACTAAAATGAGTTCATAAATAAGCTGGACTTTGGAACGTAACATTTCTAAAAGCTTGTTCAAGCACAATGTCAAAATTGTCCTACTATCTCGACTTGTAGCCTTCATAAGAGGAAAAATTAGAAAAATTGCAGTCAGGGCTGTTCTGTTGGAATAGAGAGTTCTGACGCACTTCGGCTTGGGGGTGGGGGGATCAATAATTACTAGGCGCACTGCGAAGTGGTTGCTATAGAAAAATTTAGTATGAGCTGTCTAGCTAGGGAAGGGGAGGGTCTTCAGCAGGAAAAAGCTCTGGACAATCACCGCCTACACCACGGCATAAGGAGATCGTAACACGCGGCAAGCAGAGGGGGGTGCCCGAGAGTTTTTCCTGGGGCAATACCCACTACACACGACTGGTGAAGAAAAAATGTGTGAAGCTTTATTCAAAATTCAGTGGAGATACTAAATGATGTCTTCGTCGTCGCTCGCCCCTTTGAAACAGGGGCGCCTTATCCAGGCGTGGTTCCGCCCACTAATCGGCCCAGTTCCAACCTCCAATGTTAGCTCTCTGCGGTGTTCTTCCCACGGAAGAATCGAAATTTCCATTTCTGATTTCAGTGCATCGCTAAACTGGTGCACTTCTAATCAAGGGCAGGCTTCTGGGTTCAGAAATTAAGGCCAAAATAGAATGGAGTGCAGTTGGGGGCACCGAATATTACTTAGGCTAAGACTGTGGAGCCCACCTGGTGCATCGGCCTGACGGCTTGAGTGTGGTTGCACTCGAGTATGGGGCCGTACTGTCAACATATATTTACAGATCTCACCATAATGGGACTCCTCACTGAACGAACAACAAAACAACTAGCAAAAATGCAAAATGTCCCTCTAAGCCGAAATGCGCCTATAATGTACCCTACTCTTCTTCTATGTCCAAGACTACTTGCTAACGTAATCCGAACTACTTTAACAAAAACTATTTCGTCTCCATGGGCTACGTGACCATGCGCCTCCTAACGCAATTGTATGATTCGGCTGATGCGATTTGCTGCATCCGACAAAACATCGACGTGTTGCGAAGGAACTGCCCGCAGGCCTTCCGGAGATCAAATCTGTCAGCTTCGTTGTAGTCGGGCAAAAAAACCTGATAGAAGCAACATTTGTTGCGCGGGGAAGGGGACATTTCGCACTTTTGTAAGTTTCCTTCACTAGTTCTTGTCAACATACACGTCTCACCTTGTTAAGACTTGTGGACGCTTCACAAGTGAAACCAAGCTCCTGCTCATACATACATAGCATTACAGGAATTTAGAGGTCTGCACAGGTGGAATCAGAAGAATCGATGGCAAGCAGGTATAGGCCCCTACCAAGCCGAATCGCGTGTACCGTTGTTCCCCGTCCCTTAAAGAATTGGAGCATGGCACTATGGTCGTTAATATCCCCCATCTGAAACCGAGTGATAAAGCTCCGCCAGCTCCGCACACTTGCGGAGCCACCCGTAGCCACTGCTGATGCTGTAGAAGACCACACTGATTGTAAGCCTACTCGATACGAAGCTTCCAGGATAAAACATCGATGGGAGAATCCTATTCGAGGGATGGGGGTCGTATCTGGAGATGGGAGGGATCATTTACTTTCCCTTTTCACCCTCTCACTTTCCCGTGCATGCTAAATAACCATCTCCTGCTTGTAGGGGGTGTTTAGAAACTGGAACTTCTCGGGAAATTGGGAGATACGGGATGTTGAGCAGATGGTAGGAGGACTGGAGCAGGCGTCGTTATGAAACAGAAAATCTGGCAGAGGCGACGGGTGCAGTACGGACAGCACCATTCCACTCAGGGTTCATCGTACGTTGGGAATCCCGGGGAGCGGGGTCGTATTTGGTGGCTGGTGGAGGGGAGTCCTATTTGGTCCAAGGAAATTTCCTGATAGTTGATTTTTTCATTTGACGGACTATAAGGGAGGGGTCGTATTATCTCGTTGTTGGAAAGGGGGGGGGTCTCTTGAGGAAAATTGCGCCTCTCATAC